GTTGCGTTCATCAAGAGCAGCTGTGAGGTGTTTAGCCACAGCCTTTTCCGAGATCTTGGAGATGAACGGAAGCTTAGAGATTGCTCTGAAGCTGCTTTTGAGAGATGGGGCAGGACTCGTTTTTATAAGAAGCGGTTGGATTACAGCTTTCTTGAAATAAGCAGGGACCTGACCAGAAACCAGTGAGACCACACTGGGACAGATAGACAGAAAAGTGTTTTTTAAAAAAGAAGAGGGTAAGATGTTGAGGGGGCGTGCAGAAGTCTTCATAATGTAAACTAGTTTGGATGGCTCAGGTGAAGAAACAGGGACAAAGATGCTTAGGATGAGGGGAAGGGTAGGAGTCGGAAGAGGCTGAGATAGCGCTGAAGGACAGATGGAAGATCTCACCTTAATGACTTTGTCCACAAAGAAAGACTGGATGTTTTCACCATCTCCATCAGAGTGGATGTAGGCAGTAGGTGAAGCAGGAGAAAATACTGCTGATGGCGTCAAAACACACTTAGTGTAACTACTTGCTCTGGGGCACTGCATTTGAACAGTTAATAACCATCGTGTGTGTCCCTGCAGTGTTGAAGGAAGTCAGAAGACTCTAGAGATTTTATAGATGTTTTGTAGAGTGGTTTTGTTGAGCATTATAGCACCACAGGTGGGACTCGAACACACAATCCCTGGCTTAGAAGGCCAGTGCCTTATCCATTAGGCCACTGAGGCTACATACTTGTGTCCATGAAGGATTTCGGTATGGCCAAAAGTCATCATATCTATCAATGAGGTGACGTGATAAAAAGTACGCAAAACGTTTGCTTCATGAAACAACGTGAGGCAGAAAACATCACTATAACAGGTATATGCCACCCCAGATGGGACTTGAACCCACAATCCCTGGCTTAGGAGGCCAGTGCCTTATCCATTAGGCCACTGGGGCTACATAATATTGAATCATACACGATCTTTATTTGCCCAAAGGTCATCAACCCACCCTACCTACTGAGCCACTGCTGCCCGTTAATGCAACAACTGCATCCAGAAAACATCACTAAAACCATAATACCTGCCAATATCTGATGTGGGTGTCTTTTGACCATTTGGTCAGAAGCCGAGCACAGGCATTCTGAACCACCTGTAAACTGATCAGGAAGGTTTTGCTAAGACAAGTGAAAAGCGAGTTGCAGTAGTCTAAGCATGAGGAGATGAAGGTTGGGAAAACCATCTCAAGTTCAGAGCATGATAGAAATGGACTAAGTTTAGCAATGCTCCAATCCAATCCCATTTTATTTATAAAGCGCATTCACAAGGCATTACAACCAAACAAGGCGCTGTACACTAAAAATGTTGGTTAATTAAACCGGCGTTTAATGCTCCTGAGATGAAAGAAAGAAGAGCCAACAAGAAACCTGACATGAGAATCCTGGGTGAGAGCTGGGTCAAACGTCACAATGGGATTCTTAACAAAGGGTTTGGTGCGAGAAGCAATTTGATCTAGAGAGGCTGTGACTTTGGGAACCAGCTTGTTTGCGGCACAGATGAGGATCTTCGTCTTATCGTCATTCTGCTGTAGAAAGTTCCCAGCCATCCAGGTTCTAATAGAGTCTGAGCAGGTGTGTAGTAACAGCTGCAGCTTAGACATCTCATGGGGCTTAAAGGAGATGTACAGTCGGATGTCATCTGCATAAAGACGGTAGAATATTCCTTTAAAAAAAAACTCAGGATGCGTTTAAGAGACAACAGATAGAGCATGAAAATCACAGGCCTCAGAACACAACCCTGTGAGACATCTTTTGGTGAGAGAGGTTGTGGAGGACCAAAACTTGGCGATGGCTACAGAGAAGGAACGCTCAGACAGATAAGAGGACCACTCTTGAACAGTTTCTGACAGGCCTTCCCAGTCTCTCAGCTTATCCAGTAGCAGATGATAGTCAACAGTGTCAAAGACTGCAGTTAGGTCCAGCAGAACCAGACTAGAACAGTCCCCTGCATGTCTGTATGTCAGAAGGTCATTAGAGAACTAAGAAGAGCTGTTTCAGTAGAATGGGATATAAAATAAAACCTTACTGGAAACTACTGTAGATGTTGCGTTCATCAAGAGCAGGTGTGAGGTGTTTTGCCACAGCCTTTTCCGAGATCTTGGAGATGAACGGAAGCTTAGAGATTGCTCTGAAGTTGCTTTTGAGAGCTGGAGCAGGACTTGTTTTTATAAGAAGCGGTTGGATTACAGCTTTCTTGAAATAAGCAGGGACCTGACCAGAAACCAGAGAGACCACACTGGGACAGCTAGACAGAAAAGTGTTTTTAAACAAAGAAGAGGGTAAGATGTCGAGGGGGCGTGCAGAAGTCTTCATAATCTAAACTAGTTTGGATGGCTCAGGTTAAGAAACAGGGACAAAGATGCTTAGGATGAGGGGAAGGGTAGGAGTCGGAAGAGGCTGAGATAGCGCTGAAGGACAGATGGAAGATCTCACCTTAATGACTTTGTCCACAAAGAAAGACTGGATGTTTTCACCATCTCCATCAGAGTGGATGTAGGCAGTAGGTGAAGCAGGAGAAAATACTGCTGATGGCGTCAAAACACACTTAGTGTAACTACTTGCTCTGGGGCACCGCATTTGAACAATTGATAACCATCTTGCGTGTCCTTGCAGTGTTGAAGGAAGTCAGAAAACTCTAGAGATCTTATAGTTTTTTTTTGAGAGTGGTTTTGTAGAGCATTATAGCACCCCAGGTGGGACTCGAACCCACAATCCCTGGCTTAGAAGGCCAGTGCCTTATCCATTAGGCCACTGAGGCTACATACTTGTGTCCATGAAGGATTTCGATATGGCCAAAAGTCATCATATCTATCAATGAGGTGACGTGATAAAAAGTACGCAAAACGTTTGCTTCATGAAACAACGTGAGGCATAAAACATCACTATAACAGGTTTAAGCTATCCCAGATGGGACTTCAACCCACAATCCCTGGCTTAGGAGGCCAGTGCCTTATCCATTAGGCCACTGGGGCTACATAATTTTAAATCATACACGATCTTTATGTGCCCAAAGGTCATCAACCTACCCTACCTACTGAGCCACTGCTGCCCATTAATGCAACAACTGCATCCAGAAAACATCACTAAAACCATAATACCTGCCAATATCTGATGTGGGTGTCTTTTGACCATTTGGTCAGAAGCCGAGCACAGGCATTCTGAACCACCTGTAAACTGATCAGGAAGGTTTTGCTAAGACAAGTGAAAAGCGAGTTGCAGTAGTCTAAGCATGAGGAGATGAAGGTTGGGAAAACCAGTTATATATACTGAAAAAACACATATACATTTATATATAGAATGACTTTAATTTTGTGTCATCTGCATATATATATATACAGTGGGGCAAAAAAGTATTTAGTCAGCCACCGATTGTGCAAGTTCTCCTACTTAAAATGATGACAGAGGTCAGTAATTTTCATCATAGGTACACTTCAACTGTGAGAGACAGAATGTGAAAAAAAATCCATGAATTCACATGGCAGGATTAGTAAAGAATTTATTTGTAAATCAGGGTGGAAAATAAGTAGTTGGTCACTTCAAACAAGGAAAATCTCTGGCTCTCACAGACCTGTAACTTCTTCTTTAAGACACTTTTTTGTCCTCCACTCGTTACGTGTATTAATGGCACCTGTTTGAACACATTATCTGTATAAAAGACACCTGTCCACAGCCTCAAACAGTCAGACTCCAAATTCCACTATGGCCAAGACCAAAGAGCTTTCGAAGGACACCAGGAAAAGAATTGTAGACCTGCACCAGACTGGGAAGAGTGAATCTACAATAGGCAAGCAGCTTGGTGTGAAAAAATCAACTGTGGGAGCAATTATCAGAAAATGGAAGACATACAAGACCACTGATAATCTCTCTCGATCTGGGGCTCCACGCAAGATCTCATCCCGTGGGGTCAAAATGATCATGAGAACGGTGAGCAAGAATCCCAGAACCACACGGGGGGACCTGGTGAATGACCTGCAAAGAGCTGGGACCTCAGTAACAAAGGTCACCATCAGTAACACACTACAACGGCAGTGAATCAAATCCTGCAGTGCCAGACGTGTTCCGCTGCTGAAGCCAGTGCATGTCCAGGCCTGTCTGAAGTTTTCCAGAGAGCACATGGATGATACAGCAGAGGATTGGGAGAATGTCATGTGGTCAGATGAAACCAAAGTAGAACTTTTTGGTATAAACTCAACTCATCGTGTTTGGAGGAAGAAGAATACTGGGTCGCATCCCAAGAACACCATACCTACTGTGAAGCATGGGGGTGGGAACATCATGCTTTGGGGCTGTTTTTCTGCTAAGGGGACAGGACGACTGATCCGTGTTAAGGACAGAATGAATGGAGCCATGTATCGTGAGATTCTGAGCCAAAACCTCCTTTCATCAGTGAGAGCTTTGAAGATGAAACGTGGCTGGGTCTTCCAACACGACAATGATCCCAAACACACCGCCCGGGCAACAAAAGAGTGGCTCCGTAAGAAGCATTTGAAAGTCCTGGAGTGGCCTAGCCAGTCTCCAGACCTCAACCCCACAGAAAATCTGTGGAGGGAGTTGAAAGTCCGTGTTGCTCGGCGACAGCCCCAAAACAGCCCCAAAAGTGGGAGAACATGCACAATCGGTGGCTGACTAAATACTTTTTTGCCCCACTGTATATATATATATATATATATATATATATATATATATATACATATGCATTTATATATATATATATATATATATATATATATATGTGTATGTATGTATGTATATGTGAATGTAATATGGGGTAGGATTAAATAAGTTTTACTTCCTCCCACTCCTTTTCAAGCAAGGGCTAAAAATTGTTTCTTTTGTTTTGGTTCAGTTTTGTTGTGCATCGTCGCTTATGTATATCTACATATTTCTTTTTTTAATGCCTTGAAATAAAGATGAATGAATGAATGAATGAATGAATGAACGAAACATTCTTGATACCTGCTGCATTTTCAGGTGGAAGAACTCTTTCCTGCTCAGCCTTGTTTTCGGCCTTCCTGTCATGGGCCTCATGATCTACATGATGGTGATGGACAGCCAGCACAAGGAACATGGGGGCTCCATGCCAGAGGAGCAGAATGTCTTGCCTGGTCTCTCCCTCCTTAACCTGGCTTTTTTCCTGCTCTGCACACCTGTGCAGGTAAGATAGAAACAACATGTCCGCCTCTCAGACCTGACAGGATTAATTCATTCTGTGTTCCTTCTCTCAGATCTTTGGGGGCCGGTACTTTTACATTCAGGCATATCTCTCATTAAAACACCACATAGCCAACATGGATGTGCTGATCGTGCTGGCCACCTCCATTGCCTACATCTACTCCTGCACGGTTCTCATCGTTGCTATGGTCGAAAGAGCCAGCCAGAGTCCTGTCACCTTTTTTGACACCCCTCCAATGCTTTTTGTTTTTATTGCTCTAGGACGATGGCTGGAACATGTTGCGAAGGTAGAAATCTTATCAGTGGTTTGGTGGTACATGAGTTCAAGTGTTTCATTAAGACTGGTTTGTTTTGCTTCTACATTTCCAGAGTAAAACCTCTGAAGCATTGGCCAAATTAATGTCTTTACAGGCCATTGATGCCACTGTGGTCACGTTGGGACCTGACCACTTCATCATTAGGTAAAACACTGATGAACTCTACAGAACATCGATGCTCCATCATAACTAACTCTGATTATGTTTGTGTCTCAGTGAAGAGCAGGTGGTGGTTGAGCTGGTCCAGCGAGGTGACATTGTCAAGGTCGGCCCAGGAGGGAAGTTTCCAGTCGATGGAAAAGTTATTGAGGGAAGCTCTATGGCTGACGAGTCCCTAATTACAGGTAGGTGAAGGACTAAATATGTGTAAATTGTTGTTTTCTAAAGACCATGTTCACTTGTTTGTTTTTTCAACACATTGGAACCAGTCTCTAGTATCAATGCATGTCTTGTGAATCAAACTCTGTGTGGAGAAAAGTTCTCACGCTCCTGTTTCAGGAACTAGGAGTGAGCCAGATCAGAGGTGAGCTGAACATGGCAGGATTTAGAGTCTTATTTCCTGATATTTGGACATCTTGCTCTGATTGGCTAACATCAGCTTGACTCTTTCAATGACTCTGTTTGCTTTGTAATGTTGATGTTTTATCTACACAAATAACACAAACCTGGAGGAGTTCTGCCATGTTGTGGAGTGGCTAAGTTAAAGTTAAAGTCCCATTAGTTGTCACACACACTGATGTGTGTGCGAAATTTGTTCTCCGCATTTGACCCATCCCCTGGGGGAGCGGTGAGCTGCAGACACAGCCGCGCTCGGGAACCATATGGTGGTTTAACCCCCCAGTCCAACCCCTTAATGCTGAGTGTCAAGCAGGGAGGCATTGGGTCCCATTTTTTCAAAGTCTTTGGAATGACCCGACCAGGAATCGAACCCTGATCTCCCAGTCTCAGGGCGGACACTCTACCACTAGGCCAGTATAAAATGCTGGCAGTTAGCTTCTGAAGTGATCAAGATGGCACGTGCAGCTTGCTGTCTGCCCTGTCTGTCTTAAACTTTGTGGCGTGCTTACTTGGTGCCGAAGCTTTGTTGGAGAGGAGTTAACTTGGGGAATTTACATCCGGTAAATGGTGTCGGAACTGTGTCAAAGCCTACGAAAGAGTCTACAGAACCTGCGTGTGGCACTCAAAACGTGGATCCGACCATTACCTGGTTTGGCCTGGTGAAGTCAAGGCCTATACTGAATTAGACTTTAATTCTGAATGACTTTTTTTTTATCCATCATGAACTGAGTTTCATGAATGAATGAATGAATGCCTTTTTTGTCACTGCACAAGTACAATGAAAATTGAAATTAATCTCTCTTAAGGAGCATAAAAAAATATAATAAAAATATTAAAAGTACAACATAGCTAAAATAAATTTACTAAAACACATGCCACATGTACACAACATTCACGTTCCTTTTGTCTTACACGATTCAATATTGTGCAGTAGGAGAGGGATAAAAGAGAATCATGACCTTATTGTATTTAATGCCGTTATTGCTTTTGCATAGAAACTGTTTTTTAGTCTATTTGCCCATGCTTTTAGTGACCTGAAACGTCTGCCTGAGTGCAGTGTTTCAAAGAGCAAGTGACCTGGATGGGATGAAACCCTGAGAATGCTGTTAGCCCGCCTAAGGCAGTAAACACAGTACAGCTCTTCCAAGTTGGGGAGAGGGCAACCAAAGATTTTCTGGGCCATATGAGCAATCCTCTGGAGCACCTTTCTGTCTGCTACTGTACAGCTGGTGAACCACACACAGACAGTTAGTCAGGATGCTTTCTATGGAGCAACGATAGAAGGACACTAGCAGGTCCTGAGCAAGATTGTTATTTTTGAGTACTCTCAGGAAGTACAATCTCTGCTGTGCCTTCTTTATGATGGTTATGGTGTTGCTGCTCCAGGTTAATTCCTGCTCCATGTGGACACCCAGAAATCAGAAGTCTGCCAGTGCTGCTTCTGAGAGGGATATAATTATGAATTTCAGAAGCATTATTACTTGTACCGCTTCCTGCACACACAGAACAGGGATGTCCCTTTGGCTGACTGGTTAGCATGCGTGACTCTCATCCAGGAGCCTAGGGATCGTATCCCACCCAGGACTTTGTCCCCCCACCCTGCCACACATCATAGAGGACCAACACAGAAGGCATGATTTTCATATTTTATTTTCTTGCCAATTCTTTAAGTGTTCCTGAAATTTCAGTCAGGGCATCACATATTCTGTGCAGTTCATCTCGCACTTCGTTCACCGCACTAATCGTGTCCCTCTGTGCCTGCAGGACAGTGTAACAGAATGAAAAGACTGTTTTCCACCTAAAAGTCATTTCGCCCCCTCTCCTCAGCAGGAACTAATCTGCATGAGATATTGCCTCAAGGTCTCATGCATTTGCTTCTAAACTGTTTTCTGTGGAGGAAGCACAGCCACGTTTCGAGTTTCAAAGCTGAGTTTCTGGCCACCGATGTAGCTGGAAAGGTGTTTACCTGCCCACATGGTAGAACGAGAAAGATTATTGCAATCAGAATATTTTAACACAAGTTGTTTGTCTCGCTCGACTACAGTGGTAGGAGCATCTGCTTGGTCCACGACCTGTTCAATCTGAGAGAAAACATCAGAGAGAATCTCTGATGGCTTTGAGCTCGGCAGTGAGCATGCGGTTTCCCCATGCTCAGGGTCACCTACCGCAAGGCAGTGTGAGTCGGGGAAAGAAGGCGGAGTGAACGGCAGAGGTTTTCTAACACCTGCCCTCAGTTCCCATTCTCCAAGATCGATAAAAGCTTCAAAACGCTTCAAAAAATCGACGCCAATGAGCAAAGGCATGGTTCCACTCTCACGGATGTACACGGGGTGTGTTAAGCTCATAGGACCAATCGTGAATTGGAGCAGAGTCTTAGAAGACAAGAGCACTGTAGAATCAGAGAAAACACGGATAGTTAATGCACAGGGAATTAGTTCTGGAGGGCATACGCCTCCACCCACATCTAGGCAGACGCGGTCGAAAAGAGACTTGCTCATGATTGTAAAATCTGAACCCGTATCTAAAAGCGCGTTGCAGGGATGCCCCTGTTGCAATGTGACAGATACTGTGGGCTTACCACCCCTCCCCTGAGGCAGGAGAGGTCCCAAAAGTAGTTTGTCAGGCTTGACAACAGGGGGCGCCGGGCCACTGTCGGTGGAGGTTGCACTTATCATCAGTGTAGATGGAGTGATATGGGACATTTTGTGTGTTTCCTGTAGTTCAGAGCCAATCAGTGCATCCGGTTGCAGCGCTTCCATCTTATCTGGAGGCAAATCAGCAGAGCACAGGGTTAGAGCCCCTCCCACATGGGCGGCATCTCCAATAGCTTGGACTTTTGTGACTTCCTGTTGCAGATTGAAAAGCTTCATCTGCATGTTTTTCATTTCAGAAAGCTGCATATGCAGTTGGGTCTGCATTTCATTTTTCCACTGGAAAAATTGCATCTGCATTTGTGAAATATGCATTTGGAGTTGCATTTGGATTTCATTTTTCATCTGGAAAATGAGAGAAGTCAAATGGTTATTTTGGTCTGAAGCCATTGTACTGATGTAACGGGTCTTTTAATTTATTATAAAATTAATGGAAGCTGAATAAAAATCCCCTGCTTAACTGGATGGATGAAAATGAGCTTTGTTACAGGAGATATTGCAGTGTTTTGAATGAAGATTCAGGACAGAACAGTTTCTGTAATGACCCAGAGATGTCACAAGGCGGACCTTACCAAGATGGCTGTCCGAGAGGTTGCATGGGCTTACCCAGGTTGGACGCTTCATCCAGAGTCACTGGGAGGAAACAACAAGATTTGGTTTTGTTTTACATGTTAATGACGGACACATTTGATCTTCATTGATAAAAGACTTAAACGTTTCCAGTCTCCTCTGCATGGTCAGTGTCTCCCTCCTTCTCTGGCACAATGCCACGCACTCTTGTCGGTCCGAGTACTGCTGAGATCCTAACGGCGAGTGGTGGGAGAACAGAGGCGCCAGGGCCTCCGCCAGTGGCAGACACACTCTGGCGGTGGCAAAACATCTTTTTTTTTGGCCTCCACCTTCAGATCGGACAATTTTTTTTAAATATCTGCCACAGATCTCTCTGAAGAACTCACAGCACTGATGGCTTCAGCAACTCTGTGCCACTCCGTGGATTTTCTCTTATTTTTCCACCTCACCCACAAGTACCTCAATTTCTACGTCGGTGAAATTGCGCTTCCTTGATCTGTGGTTAATGATGGAGTGCTGCAACGAGCCGGTTTATGTATATGCATGAGATCCACAAGGCACTTTGCATTGACCATTTATGGCAGAAAGTGGGCGTGTTGAGGGCGGGATGTCATCCAGAAACACCTGAGCACATTTCTAGGTAGTTTGTGATTTATAAAGCAGAGATTGGTTGTTAACTGCATCTGTGAGAGCTGGATTCCTTTGGGTGGTTCCAGTGTGCTGGTGGAACTGATTCCTGTGGGCTGTAACTGTTTTACAGTTTTTCTCAATTGCTAAAGCACAATTCCTGAAACCTTGCTCTCTTTTCTCAAAACATTAAACACAAAATCTCAGCTTCAAGCCCGATTTACAAAACCTCTCATTCATTTTGCAAAATCAAACTTTCACCTCAAAACAGTTTTAGCTGTGCTCAAAATCAAACACTGCTCTCAAATCATAAACACATTGCTCAAAATTACATACACCATCAAGCAGTCAGTAAACAATACACCAAAAAGTAGGAGGCACAATGTTCAGGGCCATACAATTTGTTTATTGTACCATATACAGCCTGCAGTCCATTGTGCTACAGTGTTCAATGACAGTGAAAAAAATATATAAAATGAAAAACATCAAAGGACTAAACATGTTATCAATGGGCCTCTTCTTGTCAGGCCACAGCACTTCATCTGCATCACATGCAATATTTTCCCTCCTGAGGCTCAAATTGGGTTGCACTCTAAGTCCTGCTTCCCTCATTGTCAGCCCATGGACAACAGCATGATCTTGTTGCTCAAATTTCATTGGATATTTCCACTCTTTATCTTGCTCTTCCTCTTCATCCTCATCCTCCTCTTTCTCTTTCTTGCCCTCCTCCTCATCCCCCACCTCGCATACGCACCTGTCCTCATCCTCTCACATGAATTCTTCTATCCATTGTCACACGTTCTCATTCCCACCTTCAACAACCTGTTTGCTCTCTGAACTTGCTTATAATGGTCGTCACACCATTTGAAACAAGTGAAATCTATTTTGACTGATTGTGGTCAATCAATGACATTTGTGCTCTTGTTATGGGTAAATGTGTGCCACCTGTGCTTACCTTTATGGATGACATGATGTACGTTAGAGTGCAGAACGTGTTTTAAGAATGAGAATGTGTTTAGAGTTTTGCTAAACCGTGTGAGATTGTTTAAGGTTTTGACAACAGGCTCAACAGTTAGCTTAATGAGTTCAAGCAACTGAGAACTTTCTTCAGTCAATGGATTTTAGTGTTTTAGCAATTGAGAAAAACTGTAATGTTCCAAGACCATCAGGTTGAGGTGGTGGCCTGGTTGTTGTTCATAAATCCTGTTTTAAATGCAGACCGATCAATGAGCCCTACCTCCTTTTAAATGTGTCTGTTTGAACTTGGCTCTTTTCCTCAGCTACTCCTGGGGGTGATTTATCACCCACCGAAGTGTGACTGAATTTTTGAAGGACATTTCAGATTTAGTGGTGGACAGCTTGTTGAAATATAGCCATGTCTTATTTCTTGGTGATTTTAATGTACATATGTTGCCCTGATAATCCAATGGCTAGAGACTTTTTGAATCAGCTGGGTTCTTTTAATCTAATTCAATGGTTCATGAGTCCCACCCATATCATGGGTGTTATGTTAGATTAGTTTTTTCGTCTGGTCTCCCTGCTGTCAATGTTGAGATTGTTTCTCCCATGTTTTCGGACCACTCACCTGTTTTATGTGATTTTATTTTGCCTTGCCCTCTTTCTGTGACAGATAGTCAGTCCAGAAGCTGCAGTGTTGTAAATGCAGAAAAGGTTGCTGAGTTTTTTGAGCTTTTAACTTTAGAGGAAGATAGTCTCTCAACACTGAAGAGTTCTCTCGTCATTTTGATTTAATGTGCAGGAAATTTTTGGATATAGTTGTCCCCCCTTTAAGGTCAGGAAACCTAGACTAAGAATGGAGCCTTGGCTCTTTGATATCACTCGGGCGTGCAGGTAGGAATGTAGGTCTGCAGAAAGACTGGAAAAGGGATGGTCTGCAGGTTTCCTGTTTAATTTTCAGAACGTCCCTTACATCAGGATGCCGTGAAGGTTAGGGTATCTAACATTATTTCAACAAACTCACACAATCCAGAATTCCTCTTCAGTACCCTAAACTCTTTGTTGGAATATAAAGAACCTCCAATCAATCAATCAATCAATCAATCAAAGCTTTATTTATAAAACGCCTTCTGCGACCCTGTCGGGAAGCCCAAGGCGCTGAGCCTTGAACCTGACTCAACTTCCTCCATTGATGGTGACTGTAGTGACTTTCACAAGTTTTTTTGTTGATAAAATATCAACATTAGATTAGATCATCAATGTCAGGTTCCTCTCCTGAATCTGGCCACACCTTCCACTTCCTTGGCCTGTTTTGATAAGATCTTTCTAGTAGTTGAGTTGGGTAGGCTAGTGTCCCAGCAAAAGCCCACTGGCTTCCCTTATGATGTTTTGCCCCTTTGTCTCTATAAGGAGGCTTTTTCCTCGCTGGGCCAGTTTATATTAACCATTGTAAATGTCCTCGTGTGAAGTTCCAACATCTATGAAAGCAGCAGTGGTCCAGCCAATACTGAAGAAGTCAGGCTCTGACATACAGGTCTGGGCAAATTACAGGCCTAGTTCCAAACAGCCTTATATTTTTAAATTATTGGAAAAGGTTGTCTACCAACAACTGGTCTTGTTTTTAGATGATTTTGATATGTTTGATATGTTTCAGTCTGGATTTAGGGCTAGACATAAAACTTATTCTTTTCCTCCCTACTAGCCGGGGGGGGGCATGCTCCTGATTTGGATGCTTTGGTGAACGGGCCTTTTCTGTTCTGGCTCCTACACTCTGGAACAAGCTTCCACGTGTTATTAAACAGTAACCATCACTGCAGGTCTTCAAGAGTCGCTTGAAGACTCATGTTTATCGTTTGGCTTTTATATAATATGATTTTTAGACTTTTATTGTCTCTGTTGTATCTTTTTAGTCATTTTTACATGCTGCTTTTATGTGTTTTATTGTTCTCTGCTATTTTATTATTTTTATGTCACATTCAGGGCCTTGGTCTTTCGTAAAGGCATTGGAAGGCGCTATAGAAATAAAATTTGATTGATTGATTCTGCTATTTGAGACATGCCCTGTTCTCTCCTGGACACTAAAATCAACAGCCTTCCCCACTGTGAGCCAAAATGGTTGAGTTCATGAATGTTAAATTACAGTGTGACGTAGATTTTACTGGCGTTTCAAATCCGAGCATTTAACCTTCTATTTTCTATCAGCGGCTAATGCATGAAATAGCGGTAGAAGACTATTTTCATGTTCAGCAGCATATCCTAAAAGCTTCTGTATCAACATTCATTCACCCAAATTTTTTTTCATCTGTCACCTTTTTCTGTCCACTTTTCCTCCTGCAGCTTTGTTAAAACTCATACAAAAACACATCAAAGTGTAAGGCTTGATCAACAGTAGTGTGTTATGTTTGATAGGATTGCAGACCATAGGAAAATTTCACAAACAACTCCAGAAAAATTCCTAATAAACATTGGCAGTTAGGCGAAACTTAAACCACTCCCCACCTCCACAGGCAACTGTCAAAAACTGTCAATTTTTTTGTTGTTTTTTCTTCCCTTCAGGTGAACCGATGCCGGTGAGTAAGAAGGTGGGCAGTCTGGTGATTGCTGGGTCCATTAACGCCCACGGAGCTCTGCTGGTGGAGGCCACTCACGTTGGTGCTGAAACAACTTTGTCTCAGATTGTTAAGCTGGTGGAAGAAGCACAAACATCAAAGGTCATTTCTGCTTATTAATAGTTTTTGTTCAAACATCCAGATTTTCATTAAAGGGATACTTAGCTAATTTTTCATAATTTTAAATCACTTTCTTGAGCCAGTATGTGCTAAAATTAATGAAATGTTACTCAGATCTCTACCAACTTCTGTGGCCAGAATACCTCATTTACAAATGTGTACTGCCAGGCCGTACCATGTGGAATCTGCTTGCAGCATGTTTCCTGCAGGCTATAGATCATTGTTCTTCATTGTATTCCTTTAATGTTTTGTTTTGTTTCCTCTTAGGCTCCTATCCAGCAGTTTGCAGACAGACTCAGTGGTTACTTTGTCCCCTTCATCGTTTTTGTTTCTCTGCTGACGCTAGTGGCCTGGCTGGCTGTCGGGTTTGTTGACTTTGATGTCGTGAAGAAGAACTTCCCAGTATGTCCACGCCCTTCCAAACATCTAAATGTGAAGAAAACGCAAACAAAATCTCTCCCTGTTTGCCTCTTTGCAGGGTTACAACCAGAACATCTCCAAGGCTGAGGTCATCGTACGCTTTGCCTTCCAGGCGTCCATTACCGTTCTGTCCATCGCCTGCCCCTGCTCTCTGGGGCTGGCGACCCCAACAGCTGTGATGGTGGGCACGGGGGTGGGAGCTCAGAACGGGATTCTAATTAAAGGAGGGGAGCCTCTGGAGATGGCACACAAGGCAAAAACACCACATCATCCTTTACATCTAATCAATATAATAGTAATGTTAAGAAATTATGACCTTTTTATGTTTTCACCTTTTCTTGATGAAAATGCAGTTGTTGTTTTAACTGTTTCCAGAAAGAAAGTGTAAGTAAGTAAGTAAATTTTATTTATATAGCACTTATCACAGACATAGAATCACAAAGTGCTTCACATAGATCAAAACAAAATAAAACATAAAGTCATAAAATCATAATGTTCTCAAAACAGAAATAGGTCAAAATCGTCATCGTCGTCGTCTTCCTCCGCTTATCCGGGTCCGGGTTGCGGGGATAGCATCCCATCTAGGGAGCTCCAGACTGTCCTCTCCCCGGCCTTCTCCAACAGCTCCTCTGGCAGGACCCCAAGGCGTTCCCGGACCAGATTGGAGATGTAACCTCTCCAACGTGTCCTGGGTCGACCCGGGGGCCTCCTGCCGACAGGACATGCCCGAAACACCTCCCCGGGGAGGCATCCAGGAGGCATCCTGACCAGATGCCCAAACCACCTCAACTGACTCCTTTCGATCCGGAGGAGCAGCGGTTCTACTCCGAGTCCCTCCCGAATGTCCGAGCTCCTCACCCTATCTCTAAGGCTGAGCCCGGCCACCCTACGGAGGAAACTCATTTCGGCCGCTTGTATCCGCGATCTCGTTCTTTCGGTCATTACCCAAAGCTCTTGACCATAGGTGAGGATTGGGACGTAGATTGACCAGTAAATCGAGAGCCTGGCTTTCTGGCTCAGCTCCCTCTTCACCACGGCAGATCGACTCAGCGTCCGCATCACTGCAGATGCTGAACCAATCCGCCTGTCGATCTCCCAATCCCTCCTACCCTCACTCATGAACAAGACCCAGAGATACTTAAACTCCTCCACTTGAGGTAGGACCTCTCCTCCGACCCGGAGTTGGCAAGCCACCATTTTCCAGTTGAGAATCATGGTCTCAGATTTGGAGGTGCTGATCCTCATCCCAGCCGCTTCACACTAGGCCACGAACCTACCCAGCAAGAGCTGAAGGTCAGAGCTGGATGAAGCTAGGAGGACCACATCATCCGCAAAAAGCAGAGAAGAGATTCTCCTGCCACCAAACTCGACACACTCCACACCACGGCTGCGCCTAGAAATTCTGTCCATAAAGGTAATGAACAGAACTGTTGACAAAGGGCAGCCCTGGCGGAGTCCAACCCTCACCGGGAACAGGTCCGACTTACTACCGGCTATGCGGACCAAACTCACGCTCCTCTGGTAAAGGGACTGAACGGCCCTTAACAGAAAGCCACCCACCCCATACTCCTGGAGCGTCCCCCACAGGGTGCCCCAGGGGACACGGTCATAAGCCTTCTCCAAATCCACAAAACACATGTGGATTGGTTGGGCAAACTCCCATGCCCCCTCCATCACCCCTGCAAGGGTATAGAGCTGGTCCACAGTTCCACGGCCAGGACGAAAACCACATTGCTCCTCCTCAATCTGAGATTCAACTATCGATCGGACCCTCCTCTCCAGTACCTTGGAGTAGACCTTTCCAGGGAGGCTGAGGAGTGTGATCCCCCTATAGTTGGAACACACCCTCAGGTCACCCTTCTTAAAGATGGGGACCACCGCCCCGGTCTGCCACTCCACAGGAACTGCCCCCGATGACCACGCAATGTTGCAGAGACGTGTCAACCATGACAGCCCTACAACATCCATAGCCTTGAGATACCCAGGACGAACCTCATCTGCCCCCGGGGCTCCGCCGCTGTGTAGTTGTTTGACTACCTCAGTAACTTCTGCCCCCGAGATTGGACAGTCCATCCCCAGGTCTCCTGGCTCCGGTTCTGCCTTGGAATGCACGTTGGTGGGATTGAGGAGCTCCTCAAAGTATTACTTCCACCGTCCAACTATAGCCCCAATTGACGTCAGCAGCTCCCCATCCCACTGTAAACAGTGTGAGCGAGTTGCTGCCTACCTCTCCTCACTGGATAGTTTGCCAGAACCTCTTTGGAGCCGATCGATAGTCTTTCTCCATGGCCTCACCAAACTCCTCTCACACCCGAGATTTTGCCTTGGCAACTGCCACTGCTGCACCCCGCTTGGCTATCCGGTACCTGTCTGCTGCCTCCAGAGACCCACAGACCAGCCACGCCCTGTAGGCCTCCTTCTTCAGCCTGACGGCTCCCCGAACCTCTGGTGTCCACCAGCGGGTACGGGGGTTGCCACCACGACTGGCACCGGCCACCTTGCGACCACAGCTAGCAACCGCTGCCTCAACAATCGCAGAGTGGAACAAGGCCCACTCGGAGTCAATGTCCCCCACTGCTCTCGGGACACGGTCAAAGCTCTGCCGGAGGTGGGAGTTGAAGACCGTCTTAACAGGTTCTTCTGCCAGGCGTTCCCAGCAGACCCTCACTATGCGTTTGGGTCTGCCAGGTCTACGCGGCATCTGATCCAACTCACCACCAGGTGGTGATCAGTTGACAGCTCCGCTCCCCTCTTCACTCGGGTGTCCAAACCATACGGCCGCAGGTCAGATGATACGACTACAAAGTCTATCATCGACCTGTGACCTAGGCTGCCCTGGTACCAAGTGTACCGATGGGCATCCTTATGGTCGAACATGGTGTTCGTTATGGCCAAACCGCAGTTTGCACAGAAGTCCAATAACGAAACACCACTCGAGTTCAGATCAGGCGGGCCATTCCTCCCAATCACACCCCTCCAGGTCATGCTGTCATTGCCCACGTGAGCATTGAAGTCCCCCAGCAGGACAATGGAGTCCCCTGATGGAGCACTATCTAGCACTCGTCCCAGGGACTCCAAAAAGGGTGAGTAATCTGAACTGATGTTTGACGCATAAGCACAAACAACAGTCAGGACTCATTCCCCGACCCGAAGGCGCAGGGAAGCTACCCTCTCGTCCCCCGGGATAAACCCCTAACACACAGGCAGAGAGTCTTGGGGCTAACAAAAACCCATCCCCAGCCCTCCGCCTCTCACCTGGAGCAACTCCAGCAAAGGAGAGTGTCCAACCCCTCTCAAGGACTTGGGTTCCAGAGCCAATGCTATGTGTCGAGGTGAGTCCGACTATATCTAGCCGGTACCGCTCAACCTCTGCCACAAGCTCCTGCTCCTTCCCTGCCAGCGAGATGACGTTCCATGTCCCAAAAACCAGTTTTCTTGTCCGGGGATCGGACCGCCAAGGCTCCCGCCTTGGTCTGCCATCCAAGCCACACATTTGTCCTTTACCAGAATGTTTCATCTATCTTGTAATTTCCATTTTGTATTTTGTATTTTGAATTTCTTTTATTGTTGATTTATTCAATATATTTACATACAACTGTACAATGTTCAGCGCTTTGGGCTTCCTGACAGGGTTGCGGAAGGCGCTTTATAAATAAAGCTTTGATTGATTGATTGATTGATTGGTACCACCCTCCGCTTCAGGCTCAGGTTGAAGACATGCTCCATAACTTCACTCAGTTCATCTGCGCAGGATTTAAGGAACCTGGAGCTAATGTTGTCAGGACCAGCAGCTTTTTTGCTTTGATCTTCATCTGCTCTCTCCTCACCTGGCCTGCTGTAAAGGAAAGGGGTGGGCAGTGGAGCTCTGTACTGGAGAGGGGCCGAGTCCTGGGGGGTGCATGATGGTCTGAATGGAGGTCTGAATGGAGGAGCCAGAGGTGTGAAGGGCTGTAGCTGTAGGGGGTCGTCCAGGTGTCAAGTTATTTGAATGCAGCTGTGTGAGGGAAGGGGTGGGTGCTTGGTCAAACCTATTGGAATACAGGTTTAGGTCGTTGGACCACTTCAAGTCCCCCTCCCCCTGTGAGTGGGGTGTTTTGAAGCCAGAGATGGATTTTAGGCTTCTCCACACCCCACTGATGTTTTATTCCTGTAGCTGCTCCTCCATTTTCCTCTTGTAGCTGGCCTTCCCCTCCCTAATCTTCCTCCTCAGCTCCTTCTGAACGGTTCTCAGCTCCTCCTTGTCCCCAGATTTGAAGGCTCTCTTTTTCTCCTTTAAGAGTTTTGATGTTGGGGGTGATCCATGGTTTGGTGCTCGCGAAGCACCGAACCGTCCTGGAGGGAACAGTGTTCCCAAAACAGAAGTTTATGTAGTCCGTGATGCAATCTGTGATGGCGTTGATGTCCTCCCCATGTAGATCACAGAGTTCTGTCCACACTGGTGTTGAAGCAGTCCCTGAGAGCCTCCTCACACTCATCAGTCCACCTCCGCACTGTACGTACTGTACTCTGTACTCTTTAACTTGTCAGTTTCTGCGTCCCCACCTCCTGCTCGCCGTATGGTTAGTTCTCGTTTTCTTAAAGAGAGCACAGCTAGAAATGTTTCTGCTGCTTTTGATCCACCCTGTTCTTCTGATACGACCCAGATTCCTTAACTTCTCAGTTTAACGAGCACTGCCTCTCCATTCTGGACAACATCTGTCCTGTCAGAACCAGATCAGTTCCTGCAGTGAACCCTACTTCCTGGTTTAATTGCAGCCTGAAGCGCCAATGCAGAAAAATTGAGTGCTTGTGGAAGAAACCCCATCTCCACGTCCATCTGCTGCACCTAAAGGATCTTCTGACATCCTTTAACTCTGCAGTCAGAGATGCCAGGGTTTCCTATTTCTCCAACCTGGTGTCCCAGAGCAAAGGGAACCCCAAGGTGCTGTTTAACACCATCAGCAGCATCGTCTCTCCTGCCTCTCCTACAGCCTCCATCCACTCTGTTACAGACTGTGAGAACTTTCTGTCTTTCTTTGTGGACAAAGTCAATAAGGTTAGATCTAGCATCTCTCCTTCAGCCTTATCGCTGCCTCTCCCGACTCCAACCAGGCCCATCATCCTAGATAGCTTTGCTCATGTTTCGTTGCCTGAGTTAACCAAACTAGTTATCTCTATGAAGACCTCTGCATGCCCCCTCGACATCTTACCCTCATCTTTGTTTAAAAGTGCTTTTCAGTCCATCGTTCCCAGCGTGCTCTCTATGATTAATGCTTCTCTGGTTTCTGGTCAGGTCCCTGCTTACTTTAAGAACGCTGTAATCCACCCGCTTCTTAAAAAACCGAGTCTCGACCCCTCTCTCCATAGCAGCTTCAGACCCATCTCTAAACTTTCGTTCATCTCCAAGATCTTGGAAAAGGTTGTGGCTAAACAACTCACAGCTGCTCTTGATGAACATAACATCTATGATAGCTTCCAGTCAGGTTTTCGTAGAGCTCATTCTACTGAAACAGCTCTTCTTAGGGTCTCTAATGACCTTCTGACTCACAGTGATGCAGGGGACTGTTCTGTTCTGGTCCTGTTGGACCTGACTGCAGCCTTTGACACTGTTGACCATCACCTGCTACTGGAGAGGCTGAGAGACTGGGAAGGCCTATCAGGATCTGCTCTGGAGTGGTTCTCCTCTTATCTCTCTCTGAGCACTCCTTTTCTGTGGCCGTCTTCAAGTTTAGGTCCTCCACCACCTCTCTTACCCATGGTTTCCCACAAGGTTCTGTGCTGGGGCCTCTACTCTTCCTCCTCTATCTGCTTCCTCTTCAACACATCCTGAGCCGAATATGCCACTTTGGTGTTGGCATAAAACAAGTCCAGTATGTTATTGTCTCTGGTGGGAAAGGTAACATTCTGCATAAATGTGGGCAGAACAGATGATGGGGGAACATGGTTGAAATCCCCAGCGATTAGAGAAAGGGCCTATGGATGCTGTGTCTGCAGCCTGCTGGAGATCATGAGCAGAGCTTCAGAGGCTGACTCCACGTTTGCAGAAGGCGGCATGTACACCACGATCACAATAACATGTGAGAACTCCCTTGGCAGATAATATGGCCTCATACTAACAGCTAGCAGTTCAATGTTATTTTTGCACAGTTTCCCTTTAATCGTGCAGTGTCCCGGTTTACACCACCTCTTGCCAGGTGTCACCTTGTCACCTTATAGTCAGGATTCTAAAATGAACTCTAAAGTTACTGGGTAACCAGTGCAGAGACGTTAGAATAGGGGTGATGTGTGCTCTTCTGTTTGCTCCAGTTTGAAGCCTCGTGCAAATTAAACAGCTTACTCATGCTCTGTAAAGCCTTTAAAATGAGACAAACTCCAGCAGTTTCCTGCTCTGTGGATAAGCTGCATACCACCCCCCTGCTGCTTCTGATACTAATCTTCTTACCTAGACCAGGATAACGACCCATACCTATAAAAGTTGCTCTTTCTATCTCGTAATCCTTCAGTCAAAAAGCAGCATCTCAATTTATGATCAAATCTGTCTAGTTCTGTAAACTAAACAGTGGCAGATCTAGGATATCTCTGACTGTGGGGCCATCAAGGAGGCACAGTATTTATATTTTGGCCAAGTATTAGTTCATTTGGTTCGTTAGCACCACTAGAGCTTGTAATTGCTTCCACGTAATAATCTTATCATCGCTCAAAGTACTGCTGAGTGAGAAGACAGTGGCCTTTCAGGGGCCAATCAGATTTCAGCAGATACCAAAGCCCTTGAGGCCCTGCCCCTAGAACTGCCAACAATATTAAATATGTTTTACGTTGTGACGTGTCAGCTGAAATACTTTAGAACAAAGACATCAAAAAAATATTTTAATTAATCAAAAGTAAGTGAAAGAAACTGTACTTCTGTATGTCGGTGTTTCAGATCAATGTCGTGATGTTTGATAAAACCGGCACGATTACAAACGGCGCGCCACAGGTGACCCGTGTGCTGGTTTTATGGGAAATGGCCCGAATGCCCTTGAGAATGATCCTGGCACTGGTGGGCACCGCAGAGGCCAGCAGTGAGCACCCGTTGGGCATGGCGGTCGCCAAATACTGCAAAGATGTAAGCGTCTAGACTTCCTGTTGTCTGTGCAGCATCTGTTTCCAGATAAAACAAGTGTTCATTTAACAGGAGCTGGACTCTGATGTTCTGGGATACTGCCGGGACTTCCAGGCTGTTCCTGGCTGTGGGATCAGCTGCTGGGTGTCAAACGTGGAGCATCTGTTGCATCAGAGTGAGGAACATTTCTTTCTGGCAGGAGCAACAACAGATGAAAGCAGCCTGCTCGCTACAGGAGAGCAAACACCTACAGGTGAGTTTACCTGCTGCTCAAGATGGATGAATGAACACATTACGCTGTTATGAGTCAGCATAACACTGGATCATCCCTTGAGTTTTGGAGCCGTTTTATGTTGAAGTAATTCTGAGTTAAGAGGCTGAAACAAAGAAGTTCTGAAGACGACGTTTACAGGAAGCGTTGACTGCTTGGAAGGGAAATGCAACGAAAGACCCGAACCGTTTTTTAATTTTAAAGCATTCTTCAATCATTTTTTCAACCTAATGTGATAATATAAAACTCATCACAGTAATCATCATACAACATACCATTTCATCCCTAGTCCCACTTGTTTACATTAAGGGGCGAGGCTTATACTTGCACTGGGGGCATTTTGGTTTCTTGTGTCTTGTTATTGCCATACTTTGCAACTTTTATATATTTTTAATAATGTTCTTGAGCCAATATGTACTAAAATGACCTTTTATACCAGGGGTGTCAAACTCAAATTCTCACAGGGCCAAAATACAAACTGGGAAGAAGTCACAGGCCAAACTCTCTCTCTCTCTCTCTCTCTCTCTCTATATATATATATATATATATATATATATTTTTTTTTTTTTTTAAGTGAAGGCAAATGTGCACATTTTTCTTTATCTACAGATACTGTTGAACCTTTTCATTTGGAATAACCAAATTACACACGAGCAAATCGATTTTAAATGAAGCACATAGATAGATATATATGTTTATTATGTTTGTGTTTATTCGTTTAGCAGACGCTTTTATCCAAAGTGACTTACATTTATAACCTATAGGGCATGTTGTGATCTGTGGGGGAAACCGGAGTACCCGGAGGAAACCCACGCATGCATGGGGAGAACACGCAACTCCACGCAGAAAGACTGCAGCCGAGTTTCGAACCTGCAACCTTCGTGCTGCGAGGTAACAGTGCTAACCACTGTGCCACCATGCAGCCAATATATATATATATATATATATATATATATATATATATATTTTTTTTTTTTTTTTCACGGCTACAGTCAGCCAATCAGAAAATCGGCCGGCGGGTTGGGTTTAGTCTATATTTGATATTGAATCTTGTGGGACAAATAAAAATAGACCATGGGCCAAATTTGGCCTGAGGGACTGAGTTTGACACCTGTTCTTTAGAGGGTTAATGAAATAAAACTCAGATCCCCACCGCCCTCTATGGACAGAATACCGCACTTGCAACTTCAGAGTGAAATACCTGGTGCTGCAGCCTGCTTCCAGCGAAGGCTGAAGGTTGGAGGAGACATTTCAGCTGTTGAAGTGTTAAAAAGATGAGCGCACAGTGAGGAGATACATTTTGCTTTTGGTTCTACTAAACAAACACTATGGGGGGCTAAAAACAAACCAAAACTGCCAAGTGCACTTTTTAATAAACATGTCAGACAAAATTATTCCTTCCTGTTTCTAGCTGAGGGAACATCTTACTCCGTCCTGATTGGAAACAGGGAGTGGATGAGGAGGAACGGCCATCACATCAAAGCAGACGTTGATGCCGCTATGTCGAGCCATGAAATAAAAGGACAAACAGCCATCCTCGTGGCCATTAATGGTGAGTTCATAAACAAACAGCTGTGTAGCTCTAATGCCTGGTTTAGATCTTACTGTGTGTTCTCTCTAGGTGTTTTGTGTGCCATGTTAGCCATTGCAGACACAGTGAAAGCAGAATCGGCGCTAGCTGTGCACACACTCAACAGCATGGGTATCGAGGTGGTCATGATTACCGGAGACAACAAACGCACAGCCAAAGCCATCGCTGCACAGGTACAACCTTCACACAAAGGCAGCGGGAATTGTGATGATGTGAAGTAAACGTTTTTTTTTGGCTTCAGGTTGGGATCAGGAAGGTGTTTGCTGAAGTTCTGCCATCTCATAAAGTAGCAAAGGTCCAGGAGCTGCAGGAGCGAGGCCTTCGAGTGGCCATGGTGGGAGACGGCGTCAATGATTCCCCCGCCCTGGCTTGCGCTGATGTGGGCGTCGCCATCGGAACTGGCACCGACGTGGCCATCGAAGCTGCTGACATCGTCCTGATCCGGGTAGGTGTCTAACAGTCTGTAGAGATGTCTTTGAAGTGTCAGACCTGACTGTTTCACTCTCTGCAGAATGACCTTCTGGATGTGGTGGCCAGCATCGAGCTGTCAAAGAAAACTGTTCACAGGATCAGGATCAACTTTATATTTGCTTTGATCTACAACCTGCTGGGAATTCCAGTAGCTGCAGGTGAAAATGAAAGAAAGAACAAAGAAATAAAATGATCTTCACAAGAACAAAAAAATGTATATAGAAAAGATTTTAAGAAAATAATATGAAAAAATATGGTTAATATAAGAAAAAGATATAACAAATTATGATTGAAAGGGAAAGAAAAAATGAATAGGAAAGAGGGAAATCAGTGAATCCCGGGAAAGGCGGAGTTGGTAGAAAGAGCAGAATAAGGAGAGGGTGGTGACAAAGGTCACGCCAGAGCCAGCCTGAACAGGTGAGTTTTCAGCTGCTTTTTAAAGGAGACCACTGAGTCCACTGATCTCAGACTCCGGGGGAGAGAGTTCACATTTGGTCTTTAGCCTGTTGTGCTGCACAACCAGTAGGCTTTGATCACTGGACCTCAGGGACCTGCTGGGGGTGTAGGGACTGAGAAGATCACCAATATATGATGGTGCTTGTCCATGTAAGGCCCTATAGACCAGAACCAGGATCTTGAAATGAACCCTGAAGTTGACTGGCGGCCAATGAAGCTGGAGGAGAAGTGGGGTGATGTGGGTGTGTTTGGAGGACTTGGTCAGAAGCCGAGCACAGGCATTCTGAACCACCTGTAGACGGTTCAGGGAGGTTCTGCTCAGACACGTGAAAAGAGAGTTACAGTAGTCTAAGCATGAGGAGATGAAGGTGTGGATAACTGTCTCAAGTTCAGAGCGGGACAGAATGGGACTCAGCTTAGCAACGTTCCTGAGATGGAAGAAGGAAGAGCGAACAAGAGAACTGACATGAGAATCCAGGGTGAGAGCTGGGTCAAAGGTTACGCCAAGATTCCTGTCAGAGGGTTTGGTGTGAGAAGCAAGCTGACCAAGAGAGCAGCCTAAAGCAGGGAAACAACTGAAAATTAAAAGTTATTGATTTATTTATCCTCTCTTTTGACCCTTTCAGGTGTCTTCATGCCTGCAGGCCTTGTCCTGCAGCCTTGGATGGGTTCTGCTGCAATGGCCGCCTCGTCTGTGTCCGTGGTTCTGTCCTCTTTGCTGCTCAGGATGTGAGTCTTAGTCTAGATTTAATGTTTTGATAGAGTACAAACTATTGAGAACCGTTCTGAATTGCTGCAGCGATGTTTCAGTCAATTAGACTTGCCTGCTGCATCAGTTTTTCAGTTTCAGACTCTCTATGACCTCAACTTAAAATCTGTAGATTGCTTTTCTTTGTCACCGAATGCTTTGGCATTCTTGTGTCCCTAACACTTTACCGACATAATATTACCATGGTTATCCAGCAAGATTTGTGTGTTTTCTTAGTATTTCTCTAATTTTGGTGCAGTTTGTAAGGAAGTGCTTTACAAATGTACCTGATTGTTGCAGGTATCAAAAGACATCAGTCGAGCTGTATGAGTCCCGTGCAAGAGGCCAAATGAGGAGCCTTCGTTCGTCTCAAATCAGTGCATATCAGGGTCTGGGCAGCCAGCGGCACAGCCCAGCTGTCCTTAAGGTGGCTCGGGACCAGGTGGGTCAGAACCCCGAGGCACCACCAGGCACAGGATCGTCCGTTAACCCTGGCCAGGAGCAGAATCACCACTCGCTGCAGGACTACCACGTTGCGTCAGACCTTAATGTGTTGTAAAGGAGAACATTGTTTTTTTTTTTTTTACCTACTTCTTGTTGTTTATAAATTCAATAATGTCCTTGTTTTAGAATTTTTTTTAATGTATTTTTGTAAATTGTTTAATTCTGCTCGTATGTTTAAATAAACATTTTATTTTGGAGAAGACAGAAGGTATCCTAGTCAAATGAATAACATTTACCATTTCAGTTTGTCTGAAAGTAAAAGCTGCTGATCACATTTTCATTTTCAAAGATCGACAATACAAAATAAAGCTGCTGTTTTTCCTATGGATAAGGCCCTCAGTGTGTTAGCTACTACAGAAGAATGTTTCTGTTGTAAACATTTTGTAGGATTTAAACTTTGAGATTTCGAAACAGAGCTTCAGCTACTTAAAAAAAGCAGAAGAGGGAGAGAACAGTTGGCTTTTTTCTTTTCATTTGAAGACATTCCAGGAAAAATCATTGGAGCACAATCATAAAATAAACCCAACAAAATGAGCTTACTCACAGACTGATAGAAACCTTGACTCTTAGTTAGACCTCCTAATAGGCTGGTTTTAATACATCATATAGACATTTGTTATTAAGCCATTACTGATTAAAACGCCAAGAAAATTCTATTTGGTTTATATTTCTTGAATTCTGATTCAAACATACAATTTTAACACAATTATTCAAGAAGCCAGCATTAATGTTTCTAATTCCAGTTTTCAGCCTAGATTAGGCAGGATTAATGTTTTAAGATTACTGACACATTAATGAGTGAATAGGTGTTAATTCTCACCAGATTTTCAGAAATTGCTTGTTTAATATTAAAGCAAATCAAACAATAGAAATTATAAAATATAAATGTATTTTACAGCTTCAGATCATTTCTTTACAGTGAATTAGCACTTTTTTTCACCATTTCAATCTTTTATTTTTTGGTAAATGTATGGATGGACTAAAGGAAAACAAGGTGTCACCATAATTGTGATGTTTATTTATTTAGAAAACAATTGAAACTCCCCTCTGTTAGTTCATGTGTTGTAATTCAGACACTCAGACAGAGCAGTTATCCTGACTTGGTTTTATTTCAAATAAAAAAGTCCCTAAAGTTTCACAATAGAGCAAAACTTTAATAAAAACCACTGATAGGAATTTGAAAACCCCAAAGAGGTCAATTTCCTGAAAGACAATCTTCTGATCCAGGAACCTCAGAGGAGGTAAAGATTAAGTCTTCCTGCAAACGGAAACCCAGAGAGGACAAAGGGTTTCATTCTGCAAAGGTAAGCTCAGAAGAGCAATGCTTGCTGTTATCTGCTTCTGTTGGACACATGAATGAAGTCCTTGTTTTGGGTTATCCAGTCGAAGAGCTGAGACCATCTGGTGCTGTTCTCCTGCAACTGGATCTTCTTGAGTTAAGATAAATGATAGTCATACTAAATGTTTTATCGAGAGGAGCATAATCTTTTAGAACTTGTGTGGTCTACATTATTGTTGTAAAAGTTGGATGACTATACCACAAACTAATGACCGTATGAACTGTAAAATAATGCTGATGAAGTCCAAAGACAGTCTACCCTCCATGAACCATAAATACAATAATGGCTGAAAGTTAAGGTTAATGTGCAGAATGTTAGTGATTTAATAATTCACAAGAAAAAACTTAGTTTAAATTTTTTTTTTAACATTTTAGCTCTGGTACTAAATTTCAGGCCAACACAACATCAGTTAAAATAATGATTAATGATTTACTGAGTAAACATAAAGGTACATGGTGTAAGATTGACATCCTGTGGTCAAATGTGGGTACTGCAGCCAATTTTACAAAAAAGAATGACTCCTCGCCTCTCATTCTGTGAGTTTTATGGTGGTTGACAGCTACAGCGCAGCACCAGAAGATTCTAGATGACGAGCAAAGATAAGTAATAGACAGTAAGTTAATAAATAAATAAATGCATTTCACTGTAAAATCTATTAATTTCACGATAGCTTGAGAATTCTGTAGAGCTATTTTTCTCATTTCTCATTATCATTGTTAGCTCAGCATTAGCCTCTTCTTTACCCAGTCTAGTCAAACAAAAAGATGTCATGGCTTCTTAGGGGTTGAAGAAATAACTTCTGGGTCGCTCCTGTAACTGGCTCAGGTTCTTTCCAAAACACTGCTGTGTTTTGCTGGCTGGTGCAGCAGCAACCTTGTGGGATCCCAGATTGTAAATACTTACTACGTCCCTCTTTAGCTCTGTTGAAAGAAAAAATTCTGACAACCTGCCAGCCGGCTGAGAAGGAAGTTTGTTAGAACGTTTTGTGACCGTCACTGTAGAATTTTTACTTAGTGTCCTAAATGTCAACATTTTAAACAGTAAAACTGTACTAAACTGTTGTCAAAGCATAAAACCCCAAAAAGAAAAGAACAAGTTAAATTTGTTGCATTAAACTGAAGTAAAATTCATTGAGCTTCCATTACAACGCACACGTTTAAAATTTTTATTTCCTTCCAGAGATTTACAAACAGATATAATCTACAGGGTACAGGGAAGAGAGCTTCCTATATGTTAATACCTATTAAGATATATATTAAGTTCTAATAACATCTGCAAAATTAAAATGAAATAGAAACCTTCATACTCGTTATTCTGAAACTTAAGTTCCTTGTTGAGAAAATATGCAACAGGATTTATCTTTTATTTTGAAAAGGAAGACATTGAGGAACTACACAAACAGCCTAAATCTAAGTAAAATAACAATTAACTCGTAGAAAGTCCGCTTTGGTTGGTTAATTATTGTGTCTGATGGTAGAAATCGACCTGGAATTTTCTCAGAGGCTTCGTACCGTTTCTGCTTTCATGTTCCAGAACCTGAATGAGCTGAAGATTTTTATCTTCAAGGACTCAAATCCAGCAGCAAGGATGTGTTCTTTCAGATTTTCCCCTAGTTTTAACTGAGCTAAATGTAATAGTTCAATTAACTAGAGCTGACATTTAACATGCAAGTCAACTCCAGAGCTCTGAAAATCCTTCAAAACAAAGCTCTCCAGTCGTGTTTAGGTAAATATCACCCAGCTGGTTTGGGATCTGTAGAGTCTCAGGGGCCAGACAGAGGAAGACTCATAAAAGGTGCTAATGCAGCAAATGCTAGCGTGAAAGCCTGATGTGATGAAGGTCTAGTTGATGCAATCCATGATGTGGATCTGCAGGGAGTCCAGGTCCGGGAGGATCTCGTTGCACTTGGGACAGGCGTGCTCAGGAATGTTCCCCTGGTGCTGCCAATCGGCACCTGTGAGCAACAAACCCAGCTCTGGTTTAGGTCAAACTGCTGTTGTAGACATTTTTGAATGTGTCACAGGTTGAAGCGTGAAAGTCAACGTAGATAAATTCACATTGATTTATATAAAGGACTGGTCAACCTGAGCAACAGAAGCATTTCAGAAACTTAAAAGTTCACCCCATGATAGACCTCATGTAGCCCAGGATTTTCAGACAACAGTCTGTGAGGATCAAATAGAAATAAAATAAAATAGAAATAAAATTTCTTATAGTTAGTATTATGATTTTTAAAATGTTTTACTGTTTCAGCCATATTAAGTGGCCTCATTAATTAGAAGCTACAGGAAGCTTCTGTTTGTCCAATAGATGCGAGAAGGTGACTGCGAGAGAGCTGGAGACTTCTGCCTCTAGAGACCCGTCTCTGCTGTCCTCTCACAGTCCAGCTGGTCCAGTTCTGCTGGAGTTTCTTCCTGTTCAAAAGAAGTTTTCCTTCCCACTGTCGCCCTCACACCATGCTGCTCAGACTGCATTCAAAGCTTTAATGTTTCCTTTATTTAAAGACAGTTTGACTAATTTACTGCATCAGGCCTGTACCTGGACCTGGTATAAGCTGGATTTGTTGCAGTGAACGGTACTTTGAGATGACATGTTGTGAGCTGACACGTCAAAACAAACTGAATTAAAATAAAGATGTATAAAATAAGGACATAATGTCTCTATTGTCCTCTGATGATACACCGTATGGATCTGGATCTGAAACCAGCTTTTTTGTAAACATTTTATTAATGAATTTGTAGTGGCTATTTGTCCATAAAACTTATAATCAAATACTTTCAAATGGCCACTGGGCTACGTCAAGGGTTAGGCGTTACGCACGGGTAAAAAGGTTTCAAATAAAGCAATGTCCATGCCAAAATTGCGTCTGGTGGTGGTTTATTCACTCAAGCAGCAAGAGCACAGATTTTTGCATCCTCTCTGTCTGTGTGGTAAAAAACCATGTTCCCTCGCAGCCCTGGCTGCTCCACCCACCTTGACCTATTTATACCAATAATCACCCACACCTGACCAATAAACAATAATTAGCCAAAATAATAAATGAAAAGCATAATGCAAAACAAATTACCTTTAGCATAAAATAAAGAAAATAAACTAGGTTATAACTTGTGCCTATAATAAACTAAATAGCTTCAACAGCATTAATGAAAAAGTCTAAAAGCCTTTGGACTGAGTTATTGTCTGGAACCGCATGCAGAGTTGGATGTAAACCAGATAAACAGAATCTACCTCTTCCAACCAGACTAGCTCCAGCTCCATGAGGACTTCCTCCTGTTGTTCCGTGTCTCCGCTGCATTTCGTTAAGCGACCGCCTGCAGAAGATCAGATCAGCTGGATGTTATACTGTCTCACCTTTAATCAGCACAACCCAAATAAACCTAACAAAAGCAGAAGGTTCTGTTTTTTGGGGCCAGTTGGAGGCAGCAGAACTTCTGTGTGGTTCCATACCGGCCCAGTGAGTCCATCTCCTCCTGCAGCTGGCTGTTCTGCTTCTTCACAAACTCCAGCTGAGCAGCCAGACGCTCCTTCTCCTCGTGGAGCTTCTCCCTCGCTGCTCGCTCTGCGTAGAAGTCCGAGGAGTAAACCTCCGCCTGAAGAAACCAGCAGCATGATCGTTAAAACTCCTGAAACTGTCACCACAGGGCCGTCAGCTTTTGCTCAGATTTATTTTCAGAATTCCTTCCAGTCTGACCTGAGCCTGGAAGACAGAGATGGTCTCCAGATCCTTCTCCTTTGAGAACATCTCCTGCTTCATCTCATCAATCTTGCTCTGTTTAACAGCCAGAGCTTCTTCTGCAGCCGTCAGCCGCTCCTGCAGATCATCTGCCAACTCCTTCTCCACCAGCCGGGACTGCAGAACGGGACAGGAGAACCAAACGTGACAACTTCCTAAGTCTTACTGGAACCCAGCTGGTATAAATAAACCAACATCCTCATGTTGCCTCAGAAACCCACCTCTCTTTTCTTCTTCTCCTCTTTGAGTTCGTTGTAGTCCTCAAACAGCTTGGTGTAGGCGTCCTTCAGCTGAGCCAGGTTGTTTCTGCAACAAATGAAGAAGAGATCCCTTTAGCTAAGTCTTTGACATGAACGCGCTTAAAAAGCAAGTCAACCCCTGCCAGATTCTTACTCAACTCCCTTATGTTTGAAAAATGCAACAAATGCTGTTGCCTTGCAGACCGAGAGGGCGGAGCCGCAAACCAATACACACACACAGGTTCACAATGACATTGTGACATCATAAGGACCAGTTTACCTCATAGCATACCCCTTAGCCAATAGCAGTGGCAGATTTAAATTCAAATGCAGTGCAGAGTTTTTACCTGACGACGGCACAACACTGACAGTTTTAGGCAGAATATTTAAATTTTAACTAAGATGCACTGAAGTACCAAATTATTGACTACACGTGTCTGCAGCATGATTAGACACGCATTTATGTAGTTTATCAGCAAAAAAAAGTTGATTTGGGGGTGACTTGCTCTTTAAGCAGAATTATAGAAAATAAACTACTGTTATTTGGGTAGAAATTACTTCTATATGAGACTGTCATAATGCACATCCCTGCTTGTAGGTAGTTTTTTTTTCACGAAATTTAACTTTATTGTGAGTTTTCTTTTAGAAAGTTGCTCAAATTTTTCATTAAAGGTGCATGAAGTAAGAACCGCATCGTGTGGTCAAATCTGGGTACTGCAGTCCGTGTTTCAAAGCAAATGAGTCCATTCTGAGTGACTCCCCCTCCCATTCCGTGAGTTTGACGAGTTACGGCTCAGTGGCTAGATGATGAGCTAGCATGAGTCAAGTTGATAAGTAGATGAATACCTTTCATGCCTTGCCTGCTGGTGGTGGTCGGAGAGGCCGCTGGCACCAGAGTACAACAGCCTAGCGTCTGTCAGTAAGCACCCAGGGCAGCGGTGGCTACAATGTAGCTCATCACCACTAGCATGTGAGTAGATATGTGCATGGGTGAATGACTGATTAATTTTAGAGCTGACTATTTGTTACTAATTCACTATTAGCATAGTTAGCTCAACTATTTAAGAAGGTCATACAAAAGCCACTTTGAACAGTTCAGCTGCTTTTTAAAGGAGACCACTGAGTCCACTGATCTCAGGCTCAGGGGGAGAGCGTTCCAGAGTCTGGGGGCCACAGCAGCAAATGATCTGTCACTTTTGGTCTTTAGCCTGGTGCGTTGCACAACCAGTAGGCTTTGATCCCTGGACCTCAGGGACCTGCTGGGGGTGTAGGGACTGAGAAGATCACCAATGTAAGATGGTGCTTGTCCATGTAAGGCCCTATAGACCAGAACCAGGATCTTGAAATGAACCCTGAAGTTGACTGGCAGCCAATGAAGCTGGAGGAGAAGCGGGGTGATGTGGGTGTGTTTGGAGGACTTGGTCAGAAGCCGAGCACAGGCATTCTGAACCACCTGTAGAAGGTTCAGGGAGGTTCTGCTCAGACAAGTGAAAAGAGAGTTACAGTAGTCTGAGGCCCTGTCCACACGTAGCCAGGGATCTGCCAAAACGTAGATATTTTTCTACGTTTTGGCCTGTCATCCACACGAAAACGGAGTTTTTTCACACGAAAACAGATCTTTTTAAAAACTCCGGCCAAAGTGAAGATCTGCGTTTTCTCTGTTTTGGGTGTCTGCGTGTGGACAGACAAAACCGGAGTTTTAAGGTCCGCAACATCACTTTCCGCGACAAAAAAATGCTGACATCACGTGTGCGACCTGTGTTTACACTAGCCGACAGCATGGATGCCCTCAGAGCTGCGCTCGCTTTATCAATTGTCCAAGCGCTTTTTGCTTGTTTGTTTTTGCAAGCGGAATTACTGCTCCTTGCAGAAGACCACAGACGAAGGACGAGGTTAAGATGGGGGAAGTACTGCCGCCTTCAGGTCTGGCATGTCCTTAACGTATTTATCCGGGTACGTGTGGACAGTTTTTTTAAAAACGAGGTGGTGTGGATGCAAGTTTTTGGAGGGGCGGATATTCGTTTAAAAAAAAAAACGGCTACGTGTGGACTAGGCCTAAGCGTGAGGAGATGAAGGTGTGGATAACTGCCTAAGGTTCAGAGCGGGACAGAATGGGACTCAGCTTAGCAATGTTCCTGAGATGGAAGAAGGAAGAGCGAAGAGAACTGATATGAGAAACCCGGGTGAGAGCTGGGTCAAAGGTCACGCCAAGATTCCTGACAGAAGGTTTGGTGTAGGAAGCAAGCTGACCAAGAGAGTCTCTGACTTTGGGAACCAGCTTGTCTGGGGCACAGATGAGGATCTCAGTCTTATCTTCATTCAGCTGTAGAAAGCTCCCAGCCATCCAGGTTTTGATAGAGTCTAAGCAGATGTGTAACAGCTGCAGCTTAGACATCTCATGGGGCTCCGGATAGGAAAACAGTTTGCTTTACACATTCCAGATTAAAACAAAATGACCACATTTCATCTGTTCATCTCCTTTCAAAACTTTTCTATACAATTGCAACTTTTTATAAAATAACACTTAATTTTATGCCTCTCTGACGGTCTAGAGCAGCGGTACTCAATAGGCGGCCTGCGGGCCAGATGAACTGGAGGGGAAGGGACAGGTGTGCAGTGCTGTTTCATTTTATAGTAAGCTTGTGACCCGGCTCCAGGTCATTTTGTTGAGTGGTCCTCGGACCACTACATTTGAGTAACCCTGGCCTAGAGCTCCATGACACTTCTACTCTTGACACAAGTTTGTCGATCTGCGAGTCCTCGGACCTCTCCTCGTCAGCCTTCCTCTGCTCCAGCTGACTCTGAGCCTGAACGCTGCCCAGTTGCAGTTTCAGACGGTCGTTCTCCGACTGCACGGCCTGCTTCTCCACCAGCTGAGCCTTCAGAGTTGCTACATCCTGCTCCACCTCTCGACACCTACACAAAACACAACCAGCACAGCAGATCAGCTGTAGCTCTTTGTCTGTTTTTGGTCTGCATCCCCCGAAGTTATTTCAGCATCTGAGAGCAGGCCCAACCTGTCCTGCAGGTTCTTCTTCATGCCTTCAGCTTCATCCAGCTTGCACAGAGCCTGCTGCAGATCCTTGAAGAGCATCCTCACCTGAGACTTCAGATTCTCCACCTCAGACGCTGCCTGAAAAGGTCCACAGTAACACACGAGGTTCATAAACAAAACCTAAAGGCAGAAATGTTGAGACAACCTCTAACTGCTGGAAAATCTTAAAAAAGACACCTTCTCCTCCCTCTCAGACTCCTCCTTGCTCTCTGTTTGGGTCATTTTCTCCACTCCTTGCCTAATTTCCTCCAAAACCTTGACTCTAATGGATAAAGAGATAACTCAGGTTAGACAGTTATTTGATAAAAAGGTAAATACATTTTCTTTTAGATGAGTGAGCAAAATCTTGTCATCTCCACCACCTGGCAGCAGAGGCCTGCAGCTCCACCTCCAGCCGCTCACATTGCTGCGTCTCATTTCTGAGAGACTGGAGCAGCTGGCTGACCGTCACTCCCTCGCTGTCCATCCGGGACGCCGTCATGCTGAGATCAGGACGTCTGCTGAGCTCTGCACCACATGACTCGTTCACACCTTCCACACCTCCATCCTGAAACGGGACCGAAACCTGTCACATCCCAAACAAGACTTCCTCCAAATCCCAGAGTTTGGTCTTCTGCTCGTGGACTTCCTCACCGACACCGTGATGATCTCGATGAATGAATCATCCTGGGAGTCCTGCTCGGCTTTCAGCTGCAGCTCAGAGTTCAGAGCCACCAGGTCGTTCTTCTCAGCCTGCAAACGGGCCACCTGGGCACGCAGGGCCTCCAACTCTGGATTCTGATGGGAGGAGTTGGTTTAGTTGCAGACAGAAGCCTAAACCTCCATGAGCTGGTTAGTCTTTAGCTCTCACCTGACTTCCACCTGGGGCACCTCCTGTCCTTCTGGACTCCTCCAGCTTTTTGCTCAGCTCCTGCTTTTCCTGAGTCAGCGTCTCCATGCAGCTCCGAGCTTCTCCAAGCCGACTCTCTAGGAAGTCCCGCTCCTGACGCTGCTTCTCCCTCCATGCAGTCAGACCTTCAAAGCGTTCTTTCATTGTCAGGTTGGTCTGACGAAGGGCCTCTGGGGGACACGGGATAAGAGAAATAAAATCAGACCCAGAATCTTTGGCTACTTTAAAGAACCGTATGGTTGGTCAGCAGGAGTTAATTAAATCTCTGCACAGACGAGAGTTTCTTTAACCACCACTCACTCCTCCCACCTTTTAGTTCTCTGTTCTCCTGAATGAGGTTGTTCATCTGCAGCATTGTTTCCTCCAGTGTGCCGGACTGACCGGGAGAGCGAGAGATGCCACCGTTCATCGTGGGGCCTCCAGACGTCATGACGCTGAGAGCAAAAAGTAAAACTGGTAAAAGTTGAGAATTCCAAACGCACTTAAGGTGAGCTCCTAAAAGATGGCAAAAAACACGCTGATGGCAATCGCAGTTTTGCAGTTAATTAAATTTGTATCTAAATTCATCTCCAAACCATCACAAATACTAGCCTGGCCTGCCAGACTCAGCCTCTGCACAGAGGAAGAGACTCAGAAGCAGAAAGCTCCATGAGGGGCGGGACTAGCCAGCTCAAAAATAACCAATCAGAAAAAAGGCAGAAATAACAACTGCATTGCACGACACTAATTTTTAAGCTGTAGTCAAAGATGGCATGTCGTGACGGCGCAAACATCTTTCTTTAGAAGAAAGGCTTTTAGCGCTTCTTGTTGTGGTTTTAAAGACGTGTTAAGTCGTTTAGAACAGAGGAAAGAGCCGCAGCTAACTCCGCTTCAGACGCCATCTTGGTTGTGAACTTCTGTACGAGAAACTGAGCGTTGCGGTGTGTGACGTACGCTGCTCAGTGCTGATTGGCTCAGTTAGAATTTTCAGAAAGTGGAGTTATTGGAATGGGAGTGTTACCAGGCCCTTTGCTTCCCCATAAGGAAGCATTGGCTAGGCTGGCCAGGCTACACAAACACAACATAACCAAAAAAAAAAATGTGTCACCATTAAAAACATGTAGTCAGATTTCAGTTCTGCCACATCCTTGGGCTGAGCTCACATGTGTTTTCGGTGCTGACAAAAGTGCAAATAAAGATGGCAGAACAAGAGCAAAACACACAGATAGTGAATAACTAATAGTTGAATATTTGCCTCCATTATTTAAATTTTACATTGTTTTCTCCAAACATTCTGTGGAACATCACAGATTTCTCACGTTTTTTTTTCTCCCAAGTATTGATGTTCCACACAAAACCCATTTTTATTGACACGACTCAATGTTTGGACATCTGGTTTCCCATAGCAATGCTTCTCTGCTTTTATGGCAACACTGTGTGTCTGTTTCATCCACATGGCTGATCAGTTGAGTAAAAACTAAGCTTGGTTAGCTGGTGTCTACATGTCTTTAATGTCTATGTGATAGAAAACGGTTCCTTTGACAAATATATAATTTGATTATTACCTAATTCAATTATTAATTATCATTTTAATTAAATTTGTCTGTGCATTTCTACAGAAGGCTAAATTATTATGAACTCCATGGATTGGTGCACTCCTAGACAGCTGAACTCTGCCATCTGCTGGCTGTGCCTGCAGCCTCTGAATCACGTTTCCTGCAGCAGCTGAAAGGGCCACTGAAAGTTGAAATGTCAAGAAAACAGTCAAAAACATTATTTCCATGAAAAAGAAAGTTCTAAAAGACAAACAAGGTTCTGAACTGACTGTATTTGTTTTGTTGATCACATTCTTGTATCTGATACTATCTCTGAAACTGAAGGGAGGGAAAATTATTAAGAAAATGTTTTATAAAACAAACTTATTATTTCACCTTGCAGCTCTGAACTATAAATAGGAACATCTCTTAATTAGTCTTTAATTGTTGTGACTGCATAGTGATGATTTAACAATTTATTTAACCACTTAATTATCCCAAAACTTTGGATTAAAAATTATTTTGAAGTGAACAGATCGTGTTAATAAAATCTTTCATGATAATCTGGGACACTAGGCACCCCCTAGTGTCTACTTAGTAGAACCAAGAGAAAAGCAAAAGCTATCTCCTCGGTGTGTGTTTGTCTTTTTAACCTAAATCTAACAGCTGAAATGTCTCCCCAGCCTTCCTTAGTGTTTACAGGAGCGGTTCATCCCAAAAACAACAAATCAGCAGTGGTCATGACCGAAAACATGCAGGAAACGTGCTGAAACCAGAATGCAGTGCCAGGTATGTCAGCTCAAAAATTGTAATGCCCAACAGACCCACCAAGTGGAACATTCTGGCCACAAGGGGATGATAGGAGCTGACGGCGATAGGAGCTGAGTGGCCTTTCATTAAACCTTAAACGGGTCATTTTGGCACATACTGTTCAAGAAAATGATTTAAAAATGAGGAAAAGTGTCAGACAAAAACAGCAGGCAGGTATTTCTATGTATACCACCTTTATTAACAATGCTGTATGTTGTGTTTCCAGTTGATATAAGCCAACTAATCTCTAGTATCTTATATCAACAATTTTGCATTTAATATAAACTATTTGTAAATCAATGGATCTCACAACTGATTTTTTTTCTTTATTTATTTATTTGTTTAAACAAGGAAAACGTCCCATTTGTTCACATTGTTAATGTTACTGGAACCTGCCACTGGGGGGCGCTCGTTTTGTTTTGAAGTCTACTTCCGCGTTACGTTCCTCTGGTTGTTAAAAACATAAGATATGTATATAAACATGTTTATATACATATCTATGGTTAAAAACGTGTACGCTCAGCTGTAACCAGATCCACACACACCCAGAAGGACTCCATACATTTTTATTTACTTGATGTGTGAAGACAAACAGAAACTTGATGGAATACTCCAAGCCTAATTCTAGCCACATGTAATCATTACACAATTAAAAAACGATACACAAAATGGATGATAATCCCAAGTACCTGGGTAGAATCCTGATTTTGTCAGTTCAGTTGCTTTTAAACTACTTGAGTTGAAATCACACTAACACGATTAAGTAACTCATTGCAACTCGTACACCAATCTGATCAGCTGATCTCATGATAATGACATTACAGATCCTGGTTAGCTCAACACATTAGCATACTGAACCGATTCAGATAAATAAACCAATAAACAGGTTATAAGATTATAACAGCAGATTTTACTGTTTATCTACAATAAGCCCCCAGATCACACCCGCATTTTTATCTTTAAACTAGCTAAGGAGACGCATTTCACCATAGACTCGAGCGCATGTATTTTACTTTTTTTTCTAATTCTACTGGTTCACTTTCGCTTTCCTTAGGCCCAATTTACCTGTATGTAACTCCTGGCTAATCTCATAAAAGTTATCGGTAACTTAAAAAACACTTACTCTGAGCCAAACTGCGTCACACACAACACTAAAATAAGTTTAAAAGTTTCCACTTACCTGATGTCACAAGCGGTACTAAAACAATGTCCGTGTTGGCTCTAAAAGCTCATATAACGACTTTTAAAAGCCACCGAGTCAATCAACCTTCTGCCCCTAGGTTTATTTTGCGTTACCGTAAAGTGTTCCTACTAAAATGCGACATTTCCGGTTTCTGCGTTCAAAATAAAACTCTTAACAGTCGAAATAATTTTTTGGTACCATATATTTATGCCTTGAGTCACTTTGAGTCAAAAAACAGTTAATTGAATTGCATCAAACAAAACTCCTTGATTATTGGACAACTAGACTGAACATCAGATCAGAATCAGATGGGTTTTATTGTCATATGGACAAGAATCAAAACATAAGAACATTGCTGTGGTACGGTGCAAGAAAAGATAAACGATAAGCAAAAATTTGAATTAGGAAATAAACCAAATGACATGATAATGATATAGGGAGGCAATTATTAGAGAATCAGCTACTATATACAAATCAGTGTACTGGTCAGAGCACATCAGTTCAGGTGCAAACATAACACTAGGTGGCTAAAATAAAAGTAACTGGAGTGAACAGGTCCACGATTATCATTCCTGAGTCCAACCGCAAAGGGAAAGAAAATGTTTTTGTGGTGAGAGGTTCTGGTCCGAATGGATCGGAGCCTCCTGCCTGATGGGAGTGGGTCGAAGAGACTGTGTCCAGAGTGAGACGGGGCAGCTGTTATCTGACCTGCACACCTCAATGTCCTGGAGGTGTACAGGTCCTGTATGGAGGGGAGTTTGCAGCCAATGACCTTCTCAGCAGAGCGCATACAGTCTCTTCATATCCCTTTATGGTAGCCCCAGCACATGGTGATTGAAGAGGTCAGGATGGACCTGATGATTGCAGTGTAGAACTGCCTCATCAACTGTGCTGATACTGATAGGCTGAATTTCTTTAGCTGCCTCAGGAAGTACATCCTCTGCTGGGTCTTTTTTATGACAGAGGTGATGGTGGGCTCCCACCTGGTGATGGTGGTGCCAGGAAGCGACATGAGCCCACCACAGTGATGGGAGTGTCAGAACATATAGCCTAGGTAATTTAAACAATTGAAATAATTTTTTTTCAGCTAACAACGTTATCAAAAAAACAAGTAGCCTTGTGTGTTCTAGAATGCTCCCCCTTTATCTAAAATACTTTGATTAAAAAGGCCCTTTGATATTACTTCCTGTTTAAGCAACAATAATTATTGCAAACTTGACTTGGGTTTTTTTCACAGGTTTCCGTTTCCTCACAGGTTACGTCGAAGGAATTAGATTTGACATGGAAAGAAAGCTGCGCGTGAACGGAACGTAGTTCTTCCGCATATTTTGAAGATCAGTGAAAAGGCTGACGTACGGAGGGCGGGGCCACACATCAGCTGACAGTGGGAATTCCCTCAAGCAGAGGACAGAAAACACGAGAAATCCCTCTAATCCCAAAGACAACACCAAATCTATTTATTTTAAATCTAAAATTAAACTACGTAAATTTTTTTACTCCGAATAATATGCGGGTATAAAACAGAAGAGGTTGTACTGGAACATGTTTGCATAGACATCAATATATAATGTCTATGCAAATAGAGCAAGCAGTTGTTGAGACACAGCCGCTGTATATCTTTTAGTTCCTCTTCCTGGGTGAGGTCTACGTCAAGTTTTATGTATTTTGTACCAATTTACAGTACTTCCTTCAATCACCACGAGATGGCAGTGTTGTGGTCAAAACTGGACTCCATGGCAGCAAATCCTCTGTTAGGTTGTGGAGAAGGGAAATCAAACACTTCTGTAGCCACGTAGATCCTTTGAAACCCATCTTTTCATTTGCTTGGTGGTATGTCTTTTGCAAATTTTACTGTTGAGGACTTATATCAAAACAATAGCCTGCCCTGCATAATTAAACTTTCTGATACATAAGCAAACAAATTTCATATTTGAAATCTAATGACAGAAACCCAATTCTGAATCCTTCTTATTATTTATTGTGATGTTATGCCCCCCAAATGCGTTTGAACAATAAAATGTTCGTTTTATGTTGAATATTCTTGTTATCGCTTATTTATGTTTGATTCTAGTTACTTTAAATATGTTTTGTTTGTTACCGTAAGATTTACATTTGGCTTCTAAATGGACCAGCCCACATCGAAACTGCAATAGCCGAGCGGCAGATCAGTCCATGAATGCAGCACAGGGTTATTCTCCAAACACAAAGAAATGAAGACAACAGGTTGGAGCCGCCGAAGTTTCTGGCTATACAGCCTGAGTTGATTTTACTCTCTTAAAACCTGAAGTCTGTTTAGGGAACAGTTCAAATTGGAACCTCGTGTGAACGCTCACAGGCCACGTGTGGTGAATTTGGAAACGCTAAAATAATTCTGTAATATTAAGGTTATAATTTATAGTTTCCGTTTTTTTATTTTGTCTGTGGAACATTGTTAGTGCTGGGGTAAATACCGGGGTTTTTCGGGATGCTTTTCTTAGCGTTCCTCCTTGCAGCGCTCGGCGGTTTTGCGCACCTGGAAACCTTGGACACTTTTACGCACGGCTGCCAGCTCCCCTCTGAGTGGCGTCCGCTGAGCGAGGGCTGCAGGGCGGAGCTGGCGGAGATCATCGTGTATGCTCGAGTCCTGGCGATCCACCGGGAACAGCTGGATTTCCGAGCAGCCAACCTGCAAAATTCGCTCCCCTTCGGTTTCGGTTATGGGTATGAGAGCGCGGAGGATGGGCTGCTGTACTCAGCGGAGGTGGAGCTGCTGTGCGACCAAGCCTGGGGCAGCATGCTGGAGGTGCCATCTGGGTCCAGGCTTAACCTGACCGGACTGGGGTACCTGTCCTGTCAGTCCCACACAGTGATGGAGAACTACTCCTACTTCTTTTTCCTCAGGTGAGGAGCAAGGATGGAATGTATTCCCATCTAACATCTTCAGGTGCCATGATAGTAGCTGAAATGGGTTTAAAAAAGATTAAGTTTGTATCACTATGTGGACTTTTCACACTGGCCCTTTCCATCCCTTCTTCAGAATGGATGAGAACTACAACATCCTTCCTCATGGTGTCAACTTCCAAGATGCCATCTTCCCAGACACAACAGAGAACAAGCGCTTCTTCTCCAGCCTCTTCCAGTTCTCCAATTGCACTCTGGGGAACCAACCATTCCACACGTTCAGCCCTGAGTGGGACATCCAGGAGGACAGCAGGGTGAGACACTTTAAATCTGAGTTGGATACCATAGTGACTCTTGAAGAGTCAAAAGCTTCCCCTTAAGTTAGAGGAATATGGTCATTAATGCACCTTGCGTTAAATCAGGTAAAATTTCTGTTGGCATTTGCTTGCAGTAGATGTGAACAAACCTGACATAATGCCATACAATGGAGATGACAAAAGGGAGCATTTGTTGCACCAAAACACAGATCAAGTACTGAGGCTTAACAGTATTTTATCAGTTAGGCCTCCCTTTGTGTGTGTGTGTGTGTGTGTGTGTGTGTGTGTGTGTGTGTGTGTGTGTGTGTGTGTGTGTGTGTGTGTGTGTGTGTGTGTGTGTGCCCTAATCCCAAACTGAGTTTCTATAACAGGAATGTGATGATGATCAGCAGAAAGAGACTGCAATGGTGTTGTTACACACAAGCTAGTTAATTTGCAGAAAATCAAATTCAGCCACACACACACTCACACACATGCACACATAGAAGAATTGATTGCACGCTCAGCAGATTTCTGGTACAGGACCAGTGGGATCACATTCCAGCTGATTGTGGATCAAAGCTGATCTGCTGATCTGTTTGCTTGTCCTCAGGCACAAAAGATGTTTTCTGGGTCAAAGATCAGACAGCAGACAGCCAGTGGTTTTAAAGTGGTGTCCGTTTTATTTGTCTCTGTGTGTCTTCACATCCTGAAGACAGACTCATTTACAACACACAAATCTTGCTATGTCCAGAAGACGGCTGCGTTTTTAGGATTTCAACAAAACATCTTTATCTTTGTTGTTTCCTAAAACAAGCTTAAATCGTTTAAAATGCATGTATCAAAGGTGGCCTCCCTGCTTGACACTCAGCATTAAGGGGTTGGATTGGGGGGTTAAACCACCAAATAGTTCCCGAGCGCGGCTTGTCTGCAGCTCACCGCTCCCCCAGGGGATGGGTCAAATGCGGAGAATAAATTTCACCACACACCTGTGTGTGTGTGTGAGACGACTAAATGGGACTTTTTTTGACAGCTAGTGGGCATTTCCTCAAGAAGTTGTGTGTTATTAGGGGTGAGGGTGGCACAGGGATCAGGGGTTTGCCTTGTAATCAGTGGGTTGCAGGTTCAAACCCAAGCTTTTGCAGAAATGTCAGTGGTTGTGTCCTTGAGCAAGACACCTCACCCTCCTTGCCTGCTGGTGGTGGTCAGAAGGACCGGCGGCACCCACGCCCAGCACCTCCGCCTCCGTCCATGAGGCCCAGGGCAGCTGTGGCTACAATGTAGCTCATCACCATCAGTGTGTGATTGGATGAATGTTTCACTGTAGTGCAAAGCACTTTTAGCCTGGCCTGCCAGACTCCTCCTCTGTTTAATTCTGTACAGAGAAAGAGTCTGGTAACAGGCAGAGAGGCACTTGAGGGGTGGGACTAGGCAGCTCAAAAATAACCAATCAGTACAAAGGCGGAAATGTCGACTGAACCGCGCAATGCTGTAGTTTTTTAGCTGTAGTAAAAAAAAGGCGTCTGGCAATGACGCAAACACCTTTTACTTTTTTAGAAGAAATGGTTATAGCGCTTGTACGTGTGGTTTTATAGACATTCAACTCATTTAGAACAGAGGAAAGAGCCGCAGCAAACTCCGCCGTTGTCTTCGTTGTTTATGAGAAACTGAGTGTCGTTGTGTGTGACGTCCGTGACACTGTAGTTTATTAGCTGTAGTTTATTAGCTGTAGTCAAAAATGGCATCTGGCGGCAGCGCAAACATCTTTCTTTAGAAGAAAGGCTTTTAGTGCTTCAACTTGTGGTTGTTTTAAAGACGTGTCCAAGTCATTTAGAACAGAGGAAAGAGCCGCAGCGAACTCCGCTTCAGTCGCCATGTTGAAACTTGGCGTTATGGTGTGTGACGTACGCTGCTCAGCGCTGATTGGCTCGGTTACAATTCTCATGGGGTGGGGTTATTTGAATGGGAGAGTTCCCAGACCCTTTCTCTGTGCAGAATTAAACAGAGGAGGAGTCTGGCAGGCCATGCTAAAGCACTTTGGAGTCCTCTGACTCAGAGAGACACTAATAGCCTAGTGAACTAGACCAAATTCTTATACCAATATGGGTCATTTAAATGGTAAATGGCCTGTGTTTGATATAGCGCCTTCTAGAGTCCTGGAACCCCTCAAGGCGCTTTACAACACAATCAGTCATTCACCCATTCACACATGCATTCACACACTGGTGGGGACGAGCTACAATGTAGCCACAGCTGCCCTGGGGCACACTGACAGAGGCGAGGCTGCCGAGCACTGGCGCCACCGGTCCCTCCGACCACCACCAGCAGGCAACGTGGGTTAAGTGTCTTGCCCAAGGACACAATGACAGCGACAGACTGAGCGGGGCTCGAACCTGCAACCTTCCAATTACGGGGCGAGCACTTAACTCCTGTGCCACCATCACCCCATTTATCATTAGGAGAGAAACTATACCAACATTGAAGCACGGTGGTGGGCTTGTTATGGTTTGGTGTTGCTTTGTTTTCCCATGAACCTGAAAGGTCATTAAAGTATTTTATTCAAGCACAAATTTAGCTTCATATTGAAGATTAATTTTGAATTGAATTGAATTGAATATAGTAAATTACTTTAAATATATTGAGTTAAAATGAAAAATTGAATTGGAGTACTAACAGATTGTATGAGGTCTTGTAATATTGTGTGAGATCACATTTAAGCAACACTCTCAGGTCTTAAGTCACTCATTTGTCTTGCTGAGAAGTGATCCAGTGTATATAGAAGTAATAGGCTCCCTCGAACAAAGCAGATTTTGATCTTCTTCAGTATGTTCTTGCTGTGTTGATTTTCCAACTGCATTGTTGGTTCTTTTTTAAAACACAGAAAAGGTTTCTTTTTACCTTGCTTGCTGACAGTTTCGTTCGCCGCTGCAAACTTCCTCAGAGCTGATGCTGATGGTGCTACTCCGTTTATCCGCTGAAAGCAGAGGACGTTGTCGCCCTCTGCTGCCCGCTCTCTCCTCATCTAGTCTGTAATTCCTTTTTAAGTCCAGGTGTCTTTTTTCCAGTTCGTTATCCACTTGCTTCTGTTTGGTTGTGACATTTCTTATCCTTTCTTTGAGTTGTGATTTTGGTGTTCTTTCCATTATGTTCTGTGCTGTCTTGGTCTGGATCTGTGTTTTCAGCTGTTGGCTTGTTGGTGTGATGTTTTCGTCCCGGCATCTTAAATTGAAGCGAAGGTGGTGTTTTTGATGTAATCGTTTCAAACGGTGGAAGTCCTCTGTTCCTTGTTGTCAGTATTTTTCTTTAAACATCTTTGGCATATTCTTGCTGTGTTGCTTTTCCAACTGCTTTGTTGGTTCTTTTTTAAAACACAGAAAATGTTTCTTTTTACCATGCTGACAGTTTCGTTCACGGCTGCAAACTTCCTTAGAGCTGACGCTGGTGGTGGCGTCACTTCCTACTCCATTTATCTGCGGGCAGCAGAGGACGTTGTCGCCCGCCGCTGCCCCCTGTCCCTGAGTCAGAAACAGAAGGCAGTATAGCATTTATGGACATGAAAATAAGCAGGCAGACCGACGGAACCCTAAACATAAACACATACAGGAAACCAACACACACAGACCAATATTTATTATGGACATCAGAACACCCCACCATACACAAAATGTCAGTAATCAGAACATTATATCACCGAGCAAACATAATAACAGAAGAAAGAGACCGTAAACAAGAGGCCAAACACATACAAAATGCCTTAAAGACCTGCGGATACCCGACATGGGTAATAAACAAAGGAAAACAACAAACAACAACCGAAAGAAAAGAACAACCTAAGCAAAGAACCAGAAACCCAGAAAGACAAGAACCAAAACCAGTGATAACCTTACCATACATCAGAGGCATAATGGAAAAAATAAGAGCAACAATGAAAAAACACAACATAAACACACCAACAAAACCATACACAACAGTTAGAAACAGACTAGTATACCCACAAGACAAGATACCAGCTGGACTTAAATGTGGAGTCGTTTACAAAATTCCATGCAAACTCTGCAATAAAACATACATAGGAGAAACCGGACGCCAACTCAACACACGAACAATAGAACACAGAAAGGAGTGCGAGAAAGAGGCAAGTCGAAAACACACAAGAGCAGCAAAAGAAGAAGCAGAAAGTGCAATAAAGAAGTTAGCCGTAACAGATCATTGCTTAAGAGAAAACCATATAATGGACTGGGACAGCACACGGATCATAAACACCGAACAACAGAAATACAAAAGATGGATCAAATAAGCTATAGAGATTAGGAGACGTGGATGTGGGACCATGAACAGAGACGATGGAGTTTACTCGTTGGATCGCGCATGGGACTGCATCGTCGGAGAGGGGAGAGCGGGCAGCAGAGGGCGGCAACGTCCTCTGCTGCCCGCGGATAAACGGAGTAGGAAGTGACGCCACCATCAGCGTCAGCTCTGAGGAAGTTTGCAGCCGCAAACGAAACTCTCAGCAAGGTGAAAAGAAACCTTTTCTGTGTTTTAAAATAATAACCAACAATGCAGATTTTGATCTTTTTCTTTGTATGACGGTCTTGAGTTAGCAACCAGAAGCTAGTACTTTGGTTTTAGTCCAAGTGCTGCAATGAACTGTTGGACCCAAACACACCACATAAGACCACCTGTCAGCTGAAGCAACTTACACTCACACTTAGAAGCCCCATTTGTTCGTGGTTGATTAGTCTTTTGAAATGAACCCATTATACAGTTTATTAGAGTTAGTTGAAGTTAGCTGGTCTATCCCCTTAGAGCAGGAATGTCTAAAACACGGCCCTTTGAGTGATTTTGTGTGGCTCCCTCTTTAATTTCTTGGAAGAGGAATTTTGTCTCTCTGGTTTGACTGTTGATGTAGATCAATGCTTTCTAGCAAAAGATGTTCAGATTCATACCAACATGCCCAACTTGGATCTATTTTGTGGAATATAAAAAGTAATTCACCCAAAAGTAATTTTTACATTTTT